CCGCTTCCGTTCTACTTATCGGATGGTTTAAAAGACGGAGGGACAAAAGTAGACGCGAGCGATGAATACAAATGACGAGGAATGAATACGTGCTTGAATACGCAATGAATAGAGAGAGGCGGAATAAACGAAACTTTGAAACAGGAAAATCTTGTTTCGAAAAAATGGCGCAATGCTGAAATTTCTGGTTTACTATCGCGGTGCCACGAAGTCTCATGGTCGGCCCATGTATCTATTCGGTTTTTTACAGTGTTCCAAATTTCCAAAAGGAAAGAGGTTGGTTTTCCTATATTAAGTCTTCAAGTGGAGAAAACAGAAATGACCTACTACTTACAGCATCGAACGAGCACAATAGAAGACTTTCGAAGGCTTAATGTGCAATTAAATAGATTTAATGTAGAATTAAAATTTTGACTCAAGTTCGATATCAATCATTTTCGAGATCATCCTTGAAACCTAAATGAGAATAAGAACGCTGGGAGAGAGTTCACCGTCATTACAAGCTGACGAAACACGTGTTGGACGCTGTAATTTATCACGGACATTGTAATGCCTGCTTGAGGTGTACGGTGTATGATAACACGAAGAATAAGCGAGCAGAGCATTATAATCGTCGTGGTTGAGAGGCACTGCAGCCATTTTCACTCTCCTGACCAGAGGCGGGCTGCATTTTTGTACGTTCACTGCGGCAACGTCATTCTCTCTCTCCGTCTCTCTGCAGCAACAGCAGCCGCAGTTAGGCTCTTTCCCCGTTTAACGGTAACCGCGGTGAATTACGGCCGCAGGATTTGCTCCTTGGAGAGGATCCTCGGGCAAGACCGTCCACCGGTAAATCTTCGCTCAGGAGGTCACCGGGTCGTCCAGCGAACTCACATATCTCTCTTTGTCCCTTCTCCGTTCTCTCTCTCCTCTCTCTCTCTCTCTCTCTCTCTTGTTTCTCAATGGGCGCAGAAGTAGACGGTTTATTAGGTTGCTATCGGTTTTGTATGTACGTTGCTGGATTAATCTCGCAATTATTCTGACGATAGATTGATAAAATGATCGAATAATCGTTATTGGTTTTTTTAATCTCAAACCGCAATTCTAATTTCCATAGCCGCGAGTCGTTAATAGGTATTTAATAATTGCGAACTGAAATATCGCGTACTTTATCGTACGAGGAACGTTTGAAATCGGAGCTATATCGAAAGCAAACTTAATTTCCGCGCGGTATAATTGATTTAAAATCCTTTATTTAGTCAATCCAGAAAGATAATTTTCACGAGAGACGTCTTTGCACTCAGGACACTGCTTTGCGAATTAAGTTTCTCAGTGGCACAAATAGATAGCAAAACCTCATTTCTCATTTAATTGCAAGCGCACTTCGCTCCAACGGTATCTTAATTTGATGCTTAATTACCGAGATCTCTTTTATATTGAAGATTAAGAAAACCGTGACGATTGATTCTCTCCCCAAGAATCCCGTGAGAGAAGCTGCGTAAATTTTCCCACCTTCTAATGAAATCTTCGCCGAGCAGGAGTCGACGTTCGGCGGACTTCGTCGGAGAATCCATCCCTAAAAGCGGCTATCGTGGATTCCCACACGTGGAATGCGCGCACCGTATACACGCAAAATAGATTCTAAAGAGTAGACAGGAGTGGTCACCGAGCAAGATGGGAGATTCGCACACGAATGTCGCGCGCGGTCACACACATGCGAAATTCATGCAACGTTATCCCGTTAGTCGACATTCATCGGCTTCGACTTCATCTCCGGCTGTCTCCGTCTCTTTCTCTTCTTTCTTTTCTCTCTTTCTCTCTCTTTCTCCCTCTCTTCCTGTCTCCCTCTTTTTCCCCCTATCTCTTCTTCTCTTCGAAGTGGCCGCTCGCCAATAAGAGAAGTTAGAGAGGGCTGCGTCCATTTCGCTCGCTGTGCCCAGTTATGCGGACTGTAACGGAATCGGCTGGCCGGCTAAATTTACCGCGGCCTTATCGATCACGGTGCTGACTTTCGGTCCCCGTCGACGATACTTTTTACTTTGCCGTAAATCTGGGGGGAAAAAAAATAAATCGAACCGACGCGATTTATGGCCGCGCACTTTGGGTCATAATCCGCGTTAGAGTGGGCGAATTTTCGCGATAAAATAATGAACGGCGAGCGTCGTAAATATTAAAGGGGAAATATAGCGAGGGGTAAATAACAGCGCGCAAAATGACACAAATAACACGTCCGACGCGAATAACGTGTACGACGTAAATAATAACAATAACGGCGTAAACAACTCGCGCGCGTGCGCGCGCGTGATATGCACGTGTGAGAAGCAGGTAACGACGGGTGAGAGTCCAAGGCAAAATTGTTCTTTTGCGGGAGAAACTTGAGCGAGCGCAGGCCGAGCGATCGATAACGCGAAGTTTTTTCGCAAATTCGCGCGCTCTTGGAGAAACGTACTCGGCAGAATTACCGCGAATTCCGCCGTTCATCCGCGTTACGTAATGCGTCGTTGGTGTCTCGGCCTTAACGCAACTTATTGGGCCCGACCGACCTCCATATGCATGAACATGCGTGTGTGTGCGTATGCGCGCATACCGCGAGATATTCATCTCACGGCGAGCCGAGAGGAGCAGTCGATTTTCTATCGTTCGTTCACCCCGTACACATTCTTTTGTGACGACGGCAATTTTGCCTCGCGGCGTCTCGACGCCCGTCGATGTTACGTAAGAATATGGCCCGTTGTACAGCGCGCGCACTAAAATATCGCCGCGGTAAATACCCCGTGGTCTCACACCTTCGCGCGGATTCATCCACTCTCGGTCGCGCCAGTAGTTGCGAGATGTACCGTATAATAATCACGTACACTGCTCGAAACAAGGGAGAGATCGCTTCTTCGACCGCCTACCGTCGTCTGGCATGATTATTCGTATTATCGAATGCTTCTCTTGGTATCTAATTTAATCTTCGGTAAATACGTTTACATACGACATATAATTAATAACAATAATAACATTAATATATAATTAATATAATAATAATTTACGTGTTCTCTTATATTTAGTTACACGACTATTCGACGGCGCTATACGCTCAATGTTAATAGCTGCGAGCTGTGTGATAACGATCAGCCGAGTGAACGTAATACGCGCAATTAAATTCAACAGGCAGATATATAAGCTGAAATCGTGCAACGAAATGCCGGCCGCGTGACTCGTTGAATTGATGCCCGCGATTCACAGGGCGGAGCGCGCGCGAGCCGAAGAATACAGCCGGGCGCGCTGTTTTAATTTTGAACGTCAGTGGCGCGCGGACTTTCCGGCCGAAACACGGAAATAATTGGCGCGCTATCGAATCGACGACGATGTCGTTACCTTCCGGCGCACCTGACGCGACCTCACTTCTCTCCCGGGACCCGCCGAGGCCCGGGGCGATACGAAGGTCGGGGGTGAGCCGAGTTTAATTTAGCCGTCACGCCGCGCGCCAACGGGATCGATACATCGTAACCGCATCAGCGGAGTTACGCCTCGTGAGTGCCATCTTAACTTCGCTGGCGACGCGCCGAAAGGAAAGGAAACCCCTAAACCAGATTCCGCTTCCGGGACGACGCCTGACTTGCCGCGACGCCGCCGGCAGCATGGCGGAAGTCGGCGGGAGGAAATGAGGGATGGACGATCCCTCGGATGTTTCTCTACGTTCGCGGGGAAAACATTGATCTTGAAGCCCCGGCTCCCCGATCCGACGGAGGTCGATTTCGGTATCTCCGCACTCGATCTCGCGGAGAGTCACCCCCCCCCCCCGGGTTTGTTCTTGAAAATCTTCGTCCCAACCCTTCGAGAGCCCGCGTTCCGCACACGTGCGTAAAAACGTTCCTCCTCCCTTCTCTTGGATTTACAGGTTCTCAGGAATAGACACGTAGCGTCAATAAATTCTTCGCCGCCGAATTAGTAGGTCCTTGATTGCCGGAGCCTGCGTCCGAATCCTCGATCCCCCCCTCGAATCGCCGGGGTTTCCGCATTCCGGTATCCAAGTTTCGCGTACGTGCAATCCCTGAAGTTTGATAGCCAATTTATGCTATCGCTATCAGTTGTCTATAGCCAAACAATTTCTGCACATACTACCGCAACAAAGTCCATTATAAGTCCCCTTCCATCGGCGAGGTACGAGCAATCACCTCGAAAAAGATGGATTAACGAGATGAGTCATAATTCATCCTCCGGAACGTCCTATTAATTTATGCCGTTATCGCATCGAATGTTTATCGGAGAACGATACTTTGAACTTGCTGACGCAACGGGTCATATTTTTATCACGGAAGACCTCGAGATCACAAAGTGTCCGTGTGGATGTGTGCGTGTGTGTTAAGACAACAACAAAGCGTTTCTATCGCAAAAGCATTTACCAAGGCATTTCTATCATAAAGCATCCCTGTCGCGAAAGCATCCGCTAAAGCGTTTCCGGTACGAAGCATTTATTATCTATTCTACCTATTGCACTTAGGAATTTATCCATTTAGTGCCCGACATTAATTATTTTCCGACAAAACAATTTGTTCACTCTGCTGTCGAACTCAGAGACAATCTCCGGTCGTGAAATTGCGAATAATAATGTCTTGCATTGTTTCTACAAAATTATAAAGGAATCAAAATTATACTTCGAAGCTCGTATATTGAAAAAAAAATGCTGTTGAATTAATAGAATTTCCAACAGCATGCGTAATTGGAATAAATCTTCTTGATTTAATAACAATATCACGAAAATTAATACTTTAATTATTGAAACATTATATAACATAGTGGTTTTAATAATACTTACCATTGAATCAAGATTTACTCCAACTACACCGCTGTTGGAAATTTTATTCACTCAACAGCATTTTCATTCCGTGTAGTTATTGGACCTCGTGCTCGATCTTCGTTAGTTTGATATATTTGACTTTATTTATATTTGCGTTCAATTTGACGCGATCAATCATAAGAAGCGTTTTATCGTGAGGAGCGAGCTAACGCGCGGTGTTTGTTTGGTTTTGCAGAACATTTTGGACAAGTTCAACCCTGGCGCCAGGCAGCTGATCAACGCGGGTAAAGCGTATCTGAAGGCCCTTCACGGTGAGTGAATTAAATCGAGCGTGGTGGCGCGCAACTCGAAGAGAGAAATAGAAACGCTCGGCCGAGGGTGGTTCGAGGGTGAAAAGAAAGTCGGTGTGCAAGAAAGAAGTTCGCGTTGGCCTCTTGGGTCCTGTTGCAGAATTGAATTGCCAGGTTGTCAGCGTCACTGGCCCTTTGCCTTCCGCCCTTTTCTATTCTCCTCTCACTCTCTCTCTCTCTCTCTCACATACACACAAACACACACATATTATCTCGCGATGTGCTGATTGATTTACTTCATACGAAGGTGTCGGCGAATTAATGGCATATTCAATTTCCCTTATTATTGTTATTCCAACAGTTTAATAACATCGAGCATATTCGGCGGTTGGCGATATTAAATATCTCAAATATTTGCAATATTGATACCGAAATTAAATTAATGACGCTGTACATCTTATGTTATTAATTTTATTTCCCTCGTATGAAAACAAACGATTCGCCGCTCAATTCTGAATCGATCTCTCTCATAACGAGCTTACTGCGGTTACGGAAATTTACAAGGACACTGTTTTTTGTTTACACAATCTTTGTCGATATTCAATATTGAGCGATTCAATGATTATTTTCCGGATTAAAGTCTCGTTGAGATAGAATCCCCGGGTTGGTCGACCGCCTGTGCATTTTTCGACGTTTAAGGACACTCTGTATATTTCTGCCTGGCCGTTGCTTCTGTGTATACGTGTATATAAATATCCCTGTTTCCACCTCTTTCGCACCTTCGCACTTTCGTGGCCAGGTCAGATCAATCACCTTTGGGGATTAACCCGCTGACCCTGAAACGGATGCTCGCGTGCCGCCGCCATGTGGGTCGCGTGCTACTCGCATGGGAGATCGCCCCCGGTCTTTCTGGGGATGGGAATGAGAATAAAGACGACGGTGGAAATAGTGACCTCCCTTCCGAAGCGATTATCGTCCTTACGACGGATAATCCTATATATAAATTTCGCATTGGAGGAAATTGAGGGGAAGTAATGCTGATGTGTGACGATGCTCGATCAACGACAATATTGTGTTGTGATAACAGTGTTTCGCAGCCGTCGTCATCGGTAATTGTCAGCGACAATAATATTTCAGGGTAAGAACCGCGATCGACCGCGATATATCACGCGTGCGATCTTAGCGAGAGTTTTCCGCACGGAGTCGGCGGTTCTCGTTGATGGCTAGAAATTTGTTTAAGGAGAGCCGGGGAAAATAGCACTCGGCGGCGGAAAGTAGTTTGCGCAGCGGCGCAGTCGACTTTACATTAAAAGTGACTTAAAAGTTTCGCGCGGAGCTCGCCGGCCTTTGATGTAACAGCATTACTCGGACCAGGCGAGAAAGAGAGAAAGAGAGAGCGAGGGAGAGAGAGAGGGTGAGAGGGTGATGCTCTCGCGAAGAGAGAGAGAGAGAGAGACACGCTATCGCCGGCGGATGAGGATCGACTCGCATTCTACTTCGCCCGCGAAAGCCCGAGACGTTTAATTAATTTTTGTTCTTCCGGTTTCTCTTGCATGAGTTCGCGCTTCTCTGTGCGATCATTATGCGTTTTGCAACGATTCGCGCGCTGTTATCACCCGTTGCAACTATCACGCTGTGTGAGATGCAATATTATTTCTTTAAAACTTTCCGGAGATAAATTTGGCGCTAGTTTCGTGCTGGCGATCGCGATCGGTAAATTATGCTATCGCTATATCCGGTAGTTTTGAGGGCATATTTTATAGATAGCAAAGCCGAGCAGTCGAACTCCCTGAGAAAACGAACGAACGAACGAACGACCATCTCTCCGTGCAAGGGTTAAACTGCTGGGTGTGATAAGGTCGCGGTGTTCCGCTCTTACAAAGAGAGAGAGAGAAAGAGAGGAGCGATTGTCGCACCGCGACGATCGTCGCGCCGTCGGCAACTATGCCCTTCGGGTTCGTATTATGGAAAAGTTCTCGGACAAACAGAATCGCGATAATTTCCTCCACGGTATGGCGTCGAGAACTTTTTTATCTTGCGACGCGATTAGGGTCGCGAAACGGAGCCGAGAGGACGTTATAAAAGGAGCGTGGCGGGAGGAGCGAAGAGTGGGACGGATGAACATCGCATAAAGGTCGGTGCAACTTCCTTAACAAGTTCCGCGTCGGGGAAAAGGACTAACTCGATTAGGAATTAATTTTTGACGAGCCACGGAAGACGAGACAAAAGGGAGATTTCTTCGAATGGCGCGGCGGAAGCTGGGTGGTAAGAAGAGGCCAGGGGAAGGGTGGAGGGAAGAGGATGGGAGTAATGATGAAAGGAGGGTTAGGAATTAAAGCGAAACCAGAGCCCTTCGGTCCCGCCTTCAGAGAGACGAATTGCATCCGGTTTTTTCCCGACGCCGGCAAATTTTTAACCCTCCGTCGCATTATTCGATTTCCGCTTGATGTAAAAGTTGTATACGCGCGATGTTCCCCGGCTCATCGCGCCGCCTTTCATCCGCGGATCCTCGAACTGACGGGCAACTCTTTCAGCGGAGATTTAATTGGAGTCTGTTATTTGTCGCCGCTTTTAAAAGTCCGGCGTTAAGTATCTTAAAGATCGAGTCACCAATTAAAACCTGTGCTTTGGAAGTGTGATATCATAAATGTCCTTGTGCATATAGAGTGTCGCCAAATGATCTCTCATTAACCCTAATTATTACAATCCCTCATTGATATTTTATAATTATGAACATGACCTGAACTTAGAAAATATTCGATACACCCGGGAAAAAATGATTATACATAAATTTTGCCTCTATATGGTCGTGTGTAATCAAATATGATTATATTATATATGATTATATTATATATGTTATATTGTATATATGATCATTTTCTTAATCGACATTAAGAGACAATGTTGAATCTGGTATCAATTCGTACTCATTTTTTAAATAACCATTAAATTTCCCGCCCCTCGAGATCTGTCTTTCTATAGTTTCTCAGATTACTTTTTCAAACAATCGGAGCGCGGATAAATTTCCGAATAAATTCTCGATCTCTTTAATTTCCCAATCAATCTCCGGGGGCGTTATCAAAACGCGATTTGCCAGCTTAAAACGGCGAATGCGCCCCGACCACCTCTCCACTTCGAGTAGTCTTTGTTCTCCGCGGAATTAATTTGTTCCACCGGAAGGAACCCGCCGATCGTCGAACTTATACCCATCCCTTTTCGGTCTCTCGTTCCCCCGGCGCGCCATATTCCCGCGTCCTATCACGAGCCAACTCCGCGACAATTTATAACGAGTCGTCGAGCCACTTTGAGGGTTTCGCTCGATCCTGCAGGAACCTCGTCCTTTCTCTGATTCTCCGGCCGATCCTGTCGCCTCCTAAGGATGCCACTTAAATACCAGGAGTTTCGTATTCCCAGCCGATTGAAGGATGCGCGACGCGGTCTCTTGGAAAATTATCACTCTCCCGTATATTATAAGATACTAGAGGCCGAGTGAATTCTCAGGAACGGATCATCGCCACTTAGAGGAAAAATGTCTCGATCCTGCATTAATTACACTGTTAATTAACGAGTAAGAGTAAATCTACAACGAGAAATTTATATTAATCGTACTTTATTATTGAAGCAACGACATAGTGGTCGCAGGAATTTCGCTTTATGTTAATACAGAAGCGCGATTATTGATTTATGAAGATAATTCGAGACACTTCACTTAATTATTTAGATCGCGAAACGTTTAAATTGAGATGAAGACTCGTTTGAGTAAATTGCGTCTCGTTTGAGCAAACTCGGAACTTGATTTCGGCTTTCGTTCGCGCGTCAAACGATTCCTTGGTGCTGACACTTACGTCTTTGCTCAATCATTCGAATTAGATATCTTTTCTCCTCTTTTCTCTACATTTATCCAGATTGGACTTCATCCAGATCGGTCCGGTGCTCGACTTCAGGCCGATTCTCTCGCCGGGAGTTGACGGTGAATCAGGGGGACGAGGAAGCGATGGGAAATTACTGGAAGCACGACGGTCGGTCGCGAGGGTCAGCGACGAATGTGATTTGAAAAGTTTTCTCGTTAAATTGCGCAAAAATGCGCGAGACGCCGAACGTAGACAGCAGGGTAGTAGGGGGTGGTCATGCCGGGGGGAATGGAAGAGGGCACGAGAAAGGATGCGTGAGAAGGGGTGAATGTCCGCGCGGTGCGGACAATGACGAGCGGGTACCGACTGATTTTAATTATGGAATCCGTGCAGGTGAAACGCTCAATTTTCCCGCCGGCACATGTCCACCCCCTTGCCGCCTCCTGCCCGTGCGTTTTAATTCTCCCCCTCGTCGCGTCCCTATTTGCAGCCTCCTCCCCCCTTCCCCCTCCATTTCAGTCCTGCTCTTCGTCCTGTGCGCCCCTGCGATTTCAATTTCGCGCCATCTCTCTACACCCCTGGACCCCTTCTCATCGCGACCCCCCGATCCGCCCCGTCCCGACCGGTCGCTCTTTAATATCGATTTCCTCTCGAAAGGTCGAAAATATCGCGAGAGTATCGAGTTACGCACGCCGCACTCGCGAATGTCAAATCCCGTCGTTTGTTCTCCACTTTGCGGGGCTCAACGGGAGGCAAAAGCGGATACAAATATACGCGGAATGTGTTCGCTATCGTGGATTGTATTGTTTCTATATTAACGACCATGCGTATATATGCAAGATGCGAGTGGTGGAAACTTGTATTTCGCTCAGTGAAGCAATTGTCGTCTTGATTGCCGAGTAAGTAAGGAAGAGACGTTGTGCGACAGGGAGACATAAAATTGCTATAAGATGGGTTGATTACGCGCGTTGCTAAGCTCTCTCCCTCTTAACTCGGTGACGGATATGGATTTGAGACGATTTGAAGGCAAATTAACTCAGTCTGCCAAAGAGAAGAACATCCCGGTGATCCTGTGCGTTTAACGTCGCGTATTTAACGACACTGGCGCGTCGCGTCATATCTAACGGTTAATGCATTCCGCTCGCGTTCTTCGTAACTGCAATTTGCGCC